GTCACTGCTCATTATGATGTATATTAGTGTTCTTGATGGAGGTAAACTAATACAACTTCACAATATAGTCACTGCTCATTATGATGTATATTAGTGTTCTTGATGGAGGTAAACTAATACAACTTCACAATATAGTCACTGTTCACTATGATGTATATTAGTGTTCTTGATATAGGTAAACCCATACAACTTACAATCGCAAAGAAATCTGGCGACTTGATATGTCCTTGTATGGAATAAGTGAATACTTGTTTAATTCGCCAGCTGGTTGAGGTTCCTATTGTCCATTTAAACAGTTTGATCGCAGAGAAAGAGCTAAGGGCGCTGCGTCCGGCGGTTTCATTGGTATGAAATATTCTCGTTTCATTCCACACCTGCTTGAAGTATGAGACGGTAGAACGTGGAAGCAACTCGTGTACACGTGACGTATGTCGATCTTCTAGATGGAGACCTTTCTTGATTATATTGACCAATGTTGCTCGAAGTATGTCGACAGCTTTTGACACTGACCTTTCTGTTCGTGGGTTCTCATTTGTTATAAGACGCTGCACTTTGATTATCACAGTTGAGGTATGACTTGTTGCAGGTCTCTTTCTGTATGGTCCTGGTGCCTCAAATTGATCCATATGCCCTTGTTTTCCAATGTCATTAAATGCAAGGTATAACCTTCCCAGAAGTGAACAATATTCGATGGAATCACAATACCCATACGTAACGCCCAACAATGTCAGAATATAGTTGTCGTACATTACGTTCCACTACAACTTTATATCGGCTGTGACTGTCACGTTTCTTGCGGATTTGCTTACTGAAAGTCGTTTTAATATGATGTATTCAACCCCGAGTATGACAAAAGCTAAATTATTATCATCAAGGTGATGTCGTAGTTTCATGACTTATTTGTTTCGTTGAGCTTGCAAAAATGTTTTCACCGCCTTACAGTCTAGCTGTGAAGAAAAGCAATGATCACGCTACCGTACGGTTTGTTATTACATACAAAACGCCGTAATGTATTGTCGTGTACCCAAAAGAGATTTAAGTTATTAAAAAAATGGTCCTGGGAAACATTTTTGTGTAATGAAAGAGATCATTACTGTAAAGGATAACATGAACCACGTTACATTAAAAAAAAACAACAAGTGTTTGTTAGTTTGTTTGAAGCTACACAATGACCTATCTGTGCTCTGCCCACCACGGGTATCGAAACCCGGTTTCTAGCGCTGTAAATCCGCAGACATACCACTCTGCCACAGGGGAGAGAGCAGCTAGTGTTAACTAAATAGGTAGATAAATTAAAAATAAACAAAAGTAATTTAAACATTTTGCAAGAATTGTGGTTTAGGGTTAGGGTTGTTAACGGTAAAGACGAGGGAAGTCCAAATACCTTAATCAAATGTGGCGTGTTTATTACCAAAGTTTAATCACAAATAACTCGTGTCGTTCATTCACTTTTTTGGAGTCTTACTGCGCCTGAAGCAAGAACCTCTGTAGCTTCCCCCCGGGGGATGCATTTAGTCATTACCATTCAACATGCTGAGATTGGGACCGCGCGCGCACACACACACACACTTAGTTGGAACGGAGAGTTTGTTAGCGCACGTGCATGACTCAGAGACAGATACAAGAATAGGTCTTTATCCGGTGTTATGTAAGACAAGACTTTTACATTTCCGTTTTATTTTACTACCGTTCGAAACGTATGTTGATAAGTAAATAATGTGGAGTAAAAATCGGTGCAAGAGAGTAATAAGAAGATGATCAAGTTGAAACTGAGTTATAAAGATAACATTATTTATGTACTGTGGTCATTTGATCAAGTTGAAACTGAGTTATAAAGATAACATTATTTATGTACTGTGGTCATTTGATCAAGTTGAAACTGAGTTATAAAGATAACGTTCTTTATGTACTGTGGACATTTGATCAAGTTAAAACTGAGTTATAAAGATAACGTTCTTTATGTACTGTGGACCTTTGGTCAAGTTGAAACTGAGTTAAAAAGATAACGTTCTTTATGTACTGTGGTCATTTGATCAAGTTGAAACTGAGTTATAAAGATAACGTTCTTTATGTACTGTGGACATTTGATCAAGTTGAAACTGAGTTATAAAGATAACGTTCTTTATGTACTGTGGACATTTGATCAAGTTGAAACTGAGTTATAAAGATAACGTTCTTTATGTACTGTGGACATTTGATCAAGTT